GGCGAGCCAACCAACCACAACATCCACAACCCGAGCTGCAAATCTACTCTAAAACCTTAAAGAGTAGCTTGGTTTTGTATCATGATTACATAAGTTAAATATTGCTTTGTACTGAAATAAAAGCAATGTTGGAGGTCTGAAATAAAAACAAAGTGCTGGAGAAACTCAGCAGGTTTGGCAGCAGCTGCAGTGAGAGAAACAGATTTAACATTCGGAGTTCAACATTACTCTTCCTTGGGTTCTGCAACTTTCTTTAATTATTTTGTTTTCGTTATGGGTTTGTACTGTAATGATCGTAGAATACAGAAACAAGTCAGGCCACAATGGATTTCATTCTCTGAAAACAGGCTTAACAATCATATTACGTGCTGGTCTCACATGACTCCTTACACAGTTGAATGGTTAAGGCAATGCAGGTGAAGGGCCAAGGATGAAAAAAGATGATGAAAAAGACGATGGGATGATGAAAAAGAATTGCCTGGATTCTCTTTACACTTTGTAATGTGTAGAATGACAGATATACTAGGGCTGCTTTTATCCCCTAGCCTTCCACAAAGAATGTTTCTCTGCACACTGGACAGCTCAAACATGCCTGACCTATAAATAACATTTATAATGTGCAATAATACTTAGAAAATCACAGATAATAAGGCCAAAAATAAGAAATTTTGCTCTGACCCAAGGTCACTGCTTTCTCCATGTCTCTTTCGTTAGCTTTCAGGATTTCATCTCGATTGTCTGTCAGGAGGTCAGCCAGCCGGTGAATAATATCAGCCCTCTGAACAAATACAAGTGAAGCATCAAAATACACAGAGCACAAAAGACAGGCTATTAGCACAAGATTTTATCTTTGACCACATGCCCCACTACCATACATGCATTCCACCTACCCACAAGGAAAGGCCCTCAATCCGGTCATACAGTCAAGGTGGAAGAGTCAAGTGATTCCTGAACAATAACACTGCACTATCTTCTCCTGTATATCTCTAAACACCACCTCCGAAACTGGTGTGAATGGGATCAAACCAGCGACATAGTAAATGAGGGTCAGATATAGAATGCAGCCCAACCAATAGATCTGGAGTGTGATTGTTCAGGAATCACTTGACTCTTCCACCTACACTGTAGGACCCGATCGAA